AATTTCGCTTGAAAATCTTACGACCTTGTAATTAGCGGTCATAACCTTAACCTCTGGTGACCTTTAAATTAGTTGCAATTGATTGTTGACTTCTCATTAAGTAGGAATTGATACATTCAACATGCATGTTTTAGTGACGTACGGTTACCAAGTTATAGATAATATGATATAATTCACTTGAAAAATACTATGCCCTTGAATTTTTTTCATAATCTTGGCCTCTGGTGACCTTGAAAATAGTTGCAAGTGTTTGGCAGTGTCCCACTTGGTTGATACTGTTCCTTATAACATGTTTCTATGACAACAGGGAAACTGTCATATAGACATTATGGGTTTGTTTGCTCCAAAAATGCTTTGACCTTGTAATAAGGTCATGACCTTGACCTCCAGTGACCTTGAGACTAGTTGCAAAAGATTGGGGATCACTCACTTAATAGGAGTTGATACTTAAAACATGTTTCTGTGACATTGGGAAACTGTTATGGATTTCAAGTCCACCCACCCCCATTCAATAGCGGCCATTTTGGATTTTTGTGGAAAACGAGACTTTGCCATGGGGGGATTCATGGGGGAAATTTTTTGGGCTATATTGGGCCTTCAACGGACCAGAATCAGTTGAGAAACCTTTGTCACCAATTTTTTCCAACCTAAGTTGTTTATTGACTGGCCTAATCAATGTCCACAAGACACCGACATTAGGAAATGACGTCACAGACGAAAAAGAAAAATATCTGGTACCACAGCGGCCGTCCTATATTCAGTACGTCCTACCTTCTTAACTCCTTCATCCATAACTCTCCGCACTCGCCCTAATTCTGAGCACCCACCAGCTGATTTATCCAGGAGCAAGGACAGCTCATCTCGCCCTCGGACCAGGTCTAGCATCTCCCAGGTAAACGTTTCGCATTTCTGGGTCAGTTCAAGATATTCTGACTGTGTGGAAGGGAAAAGTTGCATATACAATGTATGTAATGGATGACCAGCATACCCAGAACATTCATAACGTCACCATTAAGCCTAGGTCCCAACAGAACGCACGGGCTGCTACGTGTGGTCTACGGCCAAAAAATGGGGAAAACCTGGGAGTTCTTGCGTGAGGAACACGTCCATCGTGCGACTTTTGGTGGACGCAAACAGCACGTAGAAACTTTTCGACATGATCAACAGCCGCTACGTGCGATCTAGCTACGTCCTAGCCGGACGCAAGAAACCTAAAAACCGAGCGTCCAAACGTAGTTGGGACCTAGACTTAACGATTTTCTTTCTATTTTTGGTGGGGTTATCATAATGTTCTGTGCTTGCTTGATGGTGTGTGTGTGTGTGTGTGTGTGTGTGTGTGTGTTGGCGTGCGCGTGTGTGAGTGCGTGTGTGCATGCTGGCGCCTAATTTCACTTTTTTTTTACCAATCGGAAGTCCACCTACTTATCTAAATGAATTTTATGCCTTTGGCAATGTCACAACTCCCCCCTCCAAAAATAAAATACAAATATAAAATACTTTAAACAAACAAACAAACAGACAGGTATACATTTACTGTCAAAACCTATTAGATAAACTCAAACATTCTATCTGATTGTATCTTAACATTTACTTGTTGTAAACATATAAAGGTTTAAACCATTTTTTCACAAAATACCTTGAACTCTTTATCCTGTTTCGCCATTGTGAATAGTTTTTGTCTCAGCTGCAGGGCGCTCTTTACAGGATCTTTTCTCGTGAGAAGATAGGCTGATGACGTCATAGCTCTATACGCGTTCACACGATAAAGCGCGTGATTCAGCGTGTCACTTCGGTCGAGATAACAGTCGCAGAAATAGTCGTGAGGGACGGCGATTTTCAACTGCGCCTCGTCTTTCAGTAGTTTGCAGACCTTGATGTCGTTCTTCATCGCCGCCTGTAGCATTGGATTATAGTTATCACCCTCTGATAACGGCAACCATTGCTTTAGTGCTCGCTTGATCTCTTCTAGGTTCGTCCCGTCATCTATCGCCCTCCGAAGGGTTTCTCCACTAATTATTTCCGCCACTTGCTTGGCCTCTACAGGGTGGTGGGAAGGTTGTTGCGGTCCTTCATCTTCAGAACTTGAGGACGAACCACAGTCACAGCAAAGGGCAAATTCTGAAATATGGGTTATGTTTTGCAGCTTGTAAGAGCTGTTCGTGCAGCAGAAAAGGACCAATATCAATCCCCGAAAAGATAGGATTGCATTGATATCAATTGATACATTCAACCTGAGAAACCTAACAAGGAGGTTTAAAGGAAGCACAAAGAGAGAAAATACCTTCTAACGCCCCTTTTGGTTTTACACCAACGAATGGACAATGCTGTGGGATTCACGAGTTTAGTTTTTAGTTTTTGGGAAAGAGAAAGAAAGAAATGGAGAGAGTTTGAGTGGAGTGGGGGGGTCGCTTGTGTGTGTGCATGTGCGTGCGCGTGCGCGCGCGCGCGCGCGCGCGTGTGTGTGTGTGTGTGAGAGAGAGAGAGAGAGAATAAGACATGTAGAATACCTAAAATAATAACCACACTTACTCTTTTTCTTAAGCTTTCTCGTCACTCTGGAGTAGTGATAATATACGGGCTCTATATTGCCGTACGTCGCTCCATCACTTAGAGTGTCGGCAATATGCGTGGGTAACCTACTGCGAGGGACAGCACCAATGGGGGAAACATAGTCCCCCTCGTCCAGGTTCGCAGCAGGCGCACCGGTCTCTTCCGGCGAGGGCTGGTCTGAGGGTTTCGACGTGGCAGTCTGGTTGTTTAAAGTCTGTGACCGGTCTTTGTTAGGTAGTGGCGGTGGTTGCGGCAGTGGCGGTGGTGGTGGTGGTGGTGGTGGTGGTAGAGGAGTGACATGGGAAGGAGCAGGAGGAGGAGGAGGATGTTTTGAAATCGAGGTCGGTGGGGTTCCGTTGGCAACTTCAGCTGTGACATTTTGAGGGTAGGAAGGATGCGGCGCACCATCTGAGTCTTCCCGTCCGTGGTCTTTACTTCTGCTGGGACTCTCTCTGGAAGATAGTGACAGAAGAGGGGCGCCGGAGTCGTCATGACCCGGGGACTGCATAGAGAAATTTGAGGGGTTAGTGTTTTTGGGATAAGAATCCCCCATGTCAAAACTGGGAAAATATGGCAATTTTGCGGGCGAAATTTGTCCTCTGGCCCTTGGCTCTGGAGAGTCAGTGTCTATAAAATCAATATTATCAAAATCGTTTGAAGCAGTGTCTTCGTTTGATAACTGGTTAGTCCCCTGCCCCTCAGCAACGCCCGAAAAGCTGACAGTATCAGCGTCATTGCTCTTACTGTCCTTTTGACCTCGTAATGAACCAAGGGTCGCATTCATTGTGGATTGCACTTCTGTCAGACCAATTTCTCCCAATTCCACCGCCTCGACATCCTTCTGTGCTTTTCTTTTCTTGGGATTTCTTTTTAACCATTTTTTCCACCGACTGGCTCCCTCTCCGTCTGATTCGTCGTTGCTGGATGAAGTCGATGTTTTCTCACTATGAGTGAAACAGTCGCTGTCTTCCTCTGGCTCTGAGATATATTGCGAAGTGTCCGTGTCGTCAAGCGAACAAAAATCGTTTCCCAAGAGAACCACGTCTAAATTTCGTGCAAAGCCACTGCCGAGACGCCTTCTATTCGCCATCTGCAATTACCTGAAAGAAGTTTTTTTTTCTGAAGTTTTTTTTTCTGAAGTTATATATCCATTACTTAATTAGTAGTCCTAACATGGTTCATATGGAATTATAATGAGTAGTGTTAAACCTTTATACATGCTGCACCGACCGTTCGTACTGTGTATATAGTTATACCTCGCCGGGAAATCGCGGCTGAGTGGCTATATTGTACAGTGACCTACATGGTACTCGGACAGGCGCCCCGGGATATTTAACGTGCATATTATATTACTGACCACATAAATTACTCGCCACATAAATTACACGTATGAAAAGCCGTCCTGTTTATAAACAGATTAATAACGTCTCACAGCTTCACGTCTATGGGGTACGTTTATAGACCTTTATAGAGACTAGGGAGATAAAACACAAGATAAACTGCAGAGCTGCCATTGGTGTTTCTAACATGTTTAATCGAAAATTACCCCTGTATCAAATATGTCCTAATGTTCTCAATTATGAAATATAGTCTTTACTGTATTAATGGAGCATGCATACAGTAAATAATATTAAGGGTAGATATGCTACATTATATTTACTATCTACATAGCCATCCTAAATACACTAAAAAAGCACAACTCCATTCGTCTTAGAATAAACTATAGCAGTACTATACGCATACGTATATTAATCCTCTCACATTCTGTCCAGTCCTGTCCGATCCCAACTTGCCCGTTGGTATATTCAGGCCAAATACTGCCAATGGTTTATTATCATGGGCTACTCTCCAGCAGAGTCCAGCTGGGTGATGACGTCAATTCTATGCATATTCTCGCTGTACTGTACAGAAAAGAACATGCGCAGAACTGACCAGAGACATATCTGTGAATGCTTAATGAAAAAATCAGTCAGGGGTACTGATGGAGAACAATGCTGCATTTATCTGGGTCGGTCTAACTCTGTGGCTGATTCTCTCTTAATGCTATCAGTGGAATTTACTTATGTCTGACGCGCCTCTTCGAGCAGCTTGGGGGTAGTTAACACGAAAGTTAATATCGCTTGTGTTACAGACGGACAGGCAGACATAATCAGTAATGAAATTATAAAACATNCCCTGAGATGGTACCCAAAGAAGAAAACTGATATATTAACTGGTATATTAACACCATAACTTTATGATGTTAGCATTGCTTACATTGTAATTGTGTCTTACCTATCACGTAGATAAATATCGCATACTCGGACCATCGGAAATCTGTAGCATGAGCGACGTTTGCTTTATCATCAGGTAAAAAATACATCGTCAGGATCAGAAGAAACGTGAAATAGGATAAGCTGTGAGTGTAAAATTTGATACAAGGAGTCCTCAAGAACGTGTTGTTCCACTTGATGAATTTACTCTACAAAAAGAAAGAAATGATATACTACATTATTTACCAGTGCTAACAATTAAGTCATTGATTGATATATTTCCAGATTTCCATCCACGAAGAAATCACATTCATGTAATAGCTTACATCGTTCAACATTCAACAAATACAGCAAAAAAAGTGTTCCTGCAGATAAATTAAAAATGAGTGTTGTAATGATGATATAACATGTTTGACTGCTACAATAATAATTAGATTCGCTTAATCAAATTATTACATATACGCAAAGTTACTTTAATTTCCTTTGAACCTCGAGTTGAATACTTTAGTGCCTGTAACAGTGCACTCTAAGAGAATGACAACTTGTTTTTACATAAAAGAATTACCCTAACGAAGCCTAAGGGTTCGACACGGAGAATTAAAAAAAGATCCTGCCTGCCTCTCAAATTGTACCGGTACAGACTTTGAAAAAAGGGCTTTAGGAAATGTTTTAACGTGTGATAATAATCATATGAACGGTTACACCTGTTCACCATACCTTCTTTTCCAATGTTTCAAAGGCTCCGAACAGAATATAAGTCAGGAACAACAAAATCCAAACTGGCAGCGCCAGCACGATGAAGATCGACTTCAGAAATTTGTTTGTGGTCAGCAATCGACGCCTGAGATTCGGGTTGGCTCCATAAAACACCATGTTTAAGTGCCTCTGGACGTATGGGTGTGCTACAAACTGAAATAAAATTTTTAAGACGTTACTCTGTGACGATCTCAATCGACACTTTGAGCCTATTCATCTCGCTCTCTCTGTGTGACTCAATGCTACAGGCTACAGGAATTACCTCCGAAACAACAGTCAGAATAACAGTTAATTGATACCTGTCCGATTGATCAATGTCCACAAGACACCGACATTAGGAAATGACGTCACAGTCGAAAAAGAAAAATATCTGGTACCACAGCAGAAGTCGTATATTCAGTACGTCCTACCTTCTTGACTCCTTCATCCATAACTCTCCGCACTCGCCCTAATTCTGAACAACCATTGGCTGATTTATCCAGGAGCAAGGACAGCTCATCTCGCCCTCGGACCAGGTCCAACATCTCCCAGGCAAATGTTTCGCATTTCTGGGTCAGTTCAAGATATTCTGACTGTGTGAAAAGGAAAAGTTGCATATACAATGTATGTTATGTATGACCAGCATACTCAGAACATTCATAAGTCACCCTAACGATTTTCTTCCTTCGTTTTTGGTGGGGTTATCATAATGTTCTGTGTTTGCTGAATGGTGTGTGTGTGTGTGTGTGCGTGTGTGTGTGTGTGTGTGTTGGCGTACGCGTGTGTGAGTGCGTGCGTGCATGCTGGCGTCTAATTTCATTTTTTACCAATCCGAAGTCTACCTACTTATCTAAATGAATTATATGTCTTTGGAAATGTCACAACCCCTCCCCCCCTCTGAAAATAAAATACAAATATAAAATACTTTAAACAAACAAACAAACAATCAAACAAACAAACATGTATAAATTTACTGATTACTGATTGTATCGTGACATTTACTTGTTCTAAACATATAAAGGTTTACACCATTTTTTCCACAAAATACCTTGAACTCTTTATCCTGTCTCGCCATGGTGAATAGTTTTTGTCTCAGCTGCAGAGCGCTCTTAACAGGATCTTTCCTCGTGAGAAGGTAGGCCGATGACGTCATAGCTCTATACGCGTTCACACGATAAAGCGCGTGATTCAGCGTGTCGCTTCGGTCGAGAAAACAGTCGCAGAAATAATCGTGAGGGACAGCGATTTTCAACTGCGCCTCGTCTTTCAGTAGTTTGCAGACCTTGATGTCGTTCTTCATCGCCGCCTGTAGCATTGGATTATAGTTATCACCCTCTGATAACGGCAACCATTGCTTTAGTGCTCGCTTGATCTCATCCAGGTTCGTCCCGTTGTCTATTGCCCTCTTCAGAATGTCTGTGTTGAGCATTGGCCCCAGTAGTTTGCTTCCAATGGGCTGTGCAGGAGGGTGCTGCGGTCCTTCATCTTCAGAACTTGAGGACGAACCGCAGTCACAGCAAATGGCAAATTCTGAAAGATGGGATATGTTTTGCTTTTGCTTTAAAAGCCCGTTCGTGCAGCAAAAAGACCAATATTAACCCCCCAAAAAAAAGTTTCTTAATATTATCCTGTGCTCAGTCTTCTATATCAAAGTGGGATTCTCTGAGAAAAATTATTTCCAAATTACTCTCAGTTGGCGTATTCAACCCTGAGAAAGCTGACAAGGTTTAAAAGAAGCACAAAACGAGAAAATACTTCTAAAGCCCCTTTTCAATTTACACAAACGAATGAACAGCGATGCTGGAATCACCTCATGTTAAAGAGAGAGAGAAAGTTTGCGTGGACAATATTGATGTGTGTGTGTGTGTGTGTGTGTGTGTGTGTGTGAAAGAGATAATTAGAAATGCACCAATACCTACAATAATAATCACACTTACTACTTTTCTTTCGGTTTGTTCTCGTCACTCTGGCGTAGTGATATACGGGTTCTATATTGCCGTAGGTCCCCCCATCTCCTAGAGTGGAGGTGATATCCGTGGGTAACCTACTGTGGGGGGCGGCACCAGTGGGGGAGGCATAGTCCCCCTCGTCTACGTTCTCAACAAGCGCATGGGGCTCTTCCGCCAAGGACTGGTCTGAGGGTTTTGACGTGGCAGTCTGGTTGTTTGAAGTCTGTGACCGGTCTTTGTTAGGTAGTGGCGGTGGTGGTGGTGGTGGTAGAGGAGTGACATGGGAAGGAGCAGGAGGAGGAGGAGAATGTTTTGAAATCGAGGTCGGTGGGGTTCCGTTGGCAACTTCCGCTGTGTCATTTTGAGGGGAGGAAGCCTGTGGCACACCATCTACGTCTCCCCGTTCGTGGTCTTTACTTCTGCTGGGACTCTCTCTGGTAGATTGTGACAGAAGAGGGGCACTGGAGTCGTCATGTCCCGAGGACTGCATAGAGAAATTTGAGGGGTTAGTGTTTTTGGGATAAGAATCCCCTATGTCAAAACTGGGGACATAGGGCATTTTTGAGGGAGACATGTGTCCACTGGCTCTCGGCTCAGGAGAGTCAGTGTCTATAAAGTCTATATCATCGAAATCCTTTGAAGCAGTGTCTTCGTTTGATAACTGGTTAGCCCCCTGTCCCTCAGCAACGCCCGACAAGCTGACGTTCTCAGCGCCATTGCTCTTACTGTCCTTTTGACCTCGTAATGAACCAAGGGTTTCATTCATTGTGGATTGCACTTCTGCCAGCCCAATTTCTCCCAATTCCACCGCCTCGACATCCTTTTGTCGTTTTCTTTTCTTGGGATTTCTTTTTAACCATTTTTTCCACCGACTGGCTCCCTCTCCGTCTGATTCGTCGTTGCTGGATGAAGTTGATGTTTTCTCACTATGGGTGAAACAGTCGCTGTCTTCCTCTGGCTCTGAGATATATTGCGAAGTGTCCTCGTCGTCAAGCGAACAAAAATCGTTTCCCAAGAGAACAACGTCTAAATTTCGTGCAAAGCCACTGCCGAGACGCCTTCTATTCGCCATCTGCAATTACCTGAAAGAAGTTTTTTTTTTCTCAATTTATATAAAGTGTTTTAATACTGGCATTTTTAATGTCTGATTTGAATTTCCATGGACCTGAAAGCCTTTGATAGTCACATTTTCTGTTTACCTGCAGTGCATAATTTAAATTTGATGGTAATTATACTCTGTTAAGCGTTATATTACATTGCATCAAATTGATAAGAAATATTTTGTTTACTGTCACTACCAATGTTCTAACAGGAAAACTGTTACTTATTATTTTGTAACTTACAAGAGTGATTGACACAGTGCTGAAATTGGGTAACCAGATTCATTAGGATATTTTCTTTCTTGTTGACCGTGCATTTACGTTTTTTTCTTTAATCCTCTTGCCCTGAGTGCGTTTTTATCTATAGTCTGCTTATACATAAACCAGTTCCTGAGGCGCACTCCTAGAAGCGAATACCCCTCTTTAATTACACGATATAACCTAACAAAGCATTGCCCTTAAGTTGACAGAAAGGTTTATGAGACACAACTGACATTTATATTTGTGATCCCACTATTCTCCAAACCCCGCAAAAAATGGCTTCATTTTGGGCTATCGAGGCTTAATTCCTTGATTGATTTCAAAGCAGATTAAGCCTTCCGTTCCCTATATTTAGAGTCGAACCTGAACATCGGTGTAAGAGTAATCCAACAGATTTGCGGATCCCCATTACTTAATTAGTATTCCCAACATGGTTCATATGGAATTATAATGAGTAGTGTTAAACCTTTATACTTGCTGCACCGACCATTCGTATTGTATATATAGGTTTACTTCGCCGGGAAATCGCGGCTGAGTAGCTATATTATACAGTGACCTACTCGGACAGGTGCCCCGGGATGTTTAACGTGCATATTATATTACTGACCACATAAATTACTAGCCACATAAATTACACGTATGAAAAGCCATCATGTTTATAAACAGATAAATAACGTCTCACAGCTTCACGTCTATGGGGTACGTTTAAAGACCTTTATAGAGACTAGGGAGATAAAACACAAGATAAACTGCAGAGCTGCCATTGGTGTTTCTAACATGTTTAATCAAAAATTTCCCCTGCATCAAATATGCCCTAATTTTCTCAATTATAAAAAAGAATATTTACTGTATTAATGGAGCACGCATATAATAAATAATATTAAGGGTATATATGCTACATTATATTTACTATCTGCATAGCCATCCTAAATATACTAAATAAAAAGCACAGCTTCATTCGTCTTAGAACAACCTAAAGCAGTACTATACGTATGAGTATATTAATCCTTTCACATTCTGTCCAGTCCTGCCCGATCCCAACTTGACCGTTGGTATATTCAGGCCAAATACTGCCAATTGTTTATTATCATGAGCTACTCTCCAGCAGAGTCCAGCTGGGTGATGACGTTAATTCTATGCATATTCTCGCTGTACTGTACAGACAAGAACATGCGCAGAACTGACCAGAGACATATCTGTGAATGCTTAATGAAAAAATCAGTCAGGGGTACTGATGGAGAACAATGCTGCATTTATCTGGGTCGGTCTAACTCTGTGGCTGATTCTCTCTTAATGCTATCAGTGGAATTTACTTATGTCTGACGCGCCTCTTCGAGCAGCTTGGGGGTAGTTAACACGGAAGTTAATATCGCTTGTGTTACAGACGGACAGTCAGACTTAATCAGTAATGAATTTATGAAACTAAGGCTGCTTTCAGAATAGAAGTTAACGAGCTAGCAGGATCGGCCTACCTCAGAGGGGAGTCCCTGTAAGGCGCAATCAACTTAATCATGCAGCTTAATTAAGTGTCTGGCACGCCCCCTCCTCGTCCCCCGTAACTTAGGCCGCATTCAGAACAGTGGAATTACTCTTCCGAGGGTAAATATGGCCGACCTACTATCTATTCAGTGTCTATATTAGCGGATTAGACGGCAAGCTTTTTAGTGGGTCGCCATATTTGACCCGCGTACTAGTTAGTCCACTGTTCTGAATGCAACCTAATTATACTTGGGTAAAGTCGGGAAAACTCCCAAAACTTTGTTGTCTGTGCTATTGTTTATGCTGCTCTGCGAGGGGGAGACTAGATAGTCCGTGGATCAACTGGTTGTGAACGCGGTCTAAGACCCTCTTTCAGCCACATGTTATTTTGTGGTCATGACCCCAAGTTCATGGGTGAATGGCAGAGGAATCTGCGTGTTGATATGTATTACGGTCACAGATACCTTCCAACCAGTACTGTTGTTACCGCTGACTGGTCATATACTGCATAGCATATGCACCTTAATTAAACGATGCATGCAGTCGGTCACACTGTGCGCTTAATACATGTATGTTATAAGTGAGCCGGGCAGCTTAACTCTGGGCAAATGCACTAATACGTACACCGTTAAGGGGGATGCACAGAAGGCCAGCCCTAGCTTCCCTTACAGTAGTTTTGCTCTATCTTACCCCCCCCCCCCCCCACACACACACACACACACACATCTAGGCAGCCTATTGCAAACTTACGAATGTGAAATAACACAGCAGTCGCCTAGGTTCTACTGCTCCCCATTACGTATGTAGTAAATCTAGAGGATATCTATTATATAAACATCTCACTGTCATAACGTTACCACCCAGCCACCTCTACCCGCCCGAGGAAATCAGTCTGCGGTGAACTGAACTGAAATAAAGGGCATGCATACATCTAACGTTACCTGAGGATGGCTGAAGGCCTACACGGACAGTCGGTCTAATAGATCCTGTATGAACTTTTCGTTAATGCTATGAGCTTAAAACCGACGAAAACAATGTACATGTATGTCTGTCCGAATTCTAAATGTATAATAGCGCAGAGTAAGACGAGGCGGATGTGGTATTATTGGTGAACTACTACGTCTGGTTGACTTTACAGACTTACTATACTCTGACTTGAGTCCTTTCATACCGAGCAGCTAAGTTTATCTTGACTGGCGCCATTTGATTGGCCCTAACACGTAATTACGCTACAGGTTTCATTACTCAAGTTCATTAACCTTCATTTAATGCAGTCAGTTGGCCGTCGGGTATGGGGGGGGGGTGGGGGGGGGCTGGGGGGCTTCTATCCTCATACCATCCTCATACTATAAACTGTACCCCGTACATGTAGGTGGGTATCTTGCGTGAGGAAGTGAAGAAAATGCTCCCTAAATCAAGCCAGGCCTAGCTGTGGTTGAAAAAAAAACTTGTCAGGCATGTGAGTAACGAACTCTGATAATGCGGTGAAAATCACTTACCTTGTTCGTGTCGTACTACATATGAGTGAGGCAATTAAGTCAAGTGAACCTTGGCGTGCCGTCAGTGTGCAGAGATATCTAGTCCCTTCGCAAAGTGTACGAAAAGACGTGTATTATCCCTGAAGCTGATGTCTGCTAGATTTTCTCTCTATTTTGTCTTCCACCAACAGGATATAATCTACGTGACCTACATGTAGTTCGGTATCAGTAAGCAGTTGACAAAATTAAGTCCCTGTGACTGGTGTCTACTGATGTTTTTTTTTCTCTCTCTCTCTCTTTTTATGTGCCTTTCGCCATTCACAGATAATCAGCGTGGCCTAGATCAGAGCCTGCAGTGTGACTAGTACACTGAATACAGAGCCAATTTATATTTCGGTCGAACCAGTGTCAGCAAGCACACGGCACGTTACAATGTCGTTATTCGTGTACGCTAAATCTGTCGCTGTCACATCCATGCTAGGTTTGTGATTACTTATAATAATAGTTACAGTTTTATAAACGGGGTAGAGTGTCAGTGGCGGCGTAACCGGATTTACAAGTTCCGGGCATTTGCTCAACAAACAAAGACAACGTGTGGAAAATTCTCCAATTATCTTACATCAGCATCAGTTCCGGGTAAAACTTTTTCCCCAATATACAGAGGGTCCCAAGAAACCTACTCATTCCTTGACTTCTCCTACTACATTAAATACTTTATATTTCATTAGTTGTTCTCTGGTTTAAGAACACTCACGTTTTTTTTTTTTTTAATTTTTTCTCATGTTATATTGATATTTTTTCCTCAATGGTATTCATTAGATTTGCATCTACCAAGTAGCTCAACAAATGTCTAAGTTAGCGAATGATAAACTCATCGTACAAGAGGGATCGATCAAACTCTGCTGCAGCTTCTCCCCAAATAATAGGCTTAAATATCTGACGCCCCTCCTCGAGCTGTTAAGGGGTAACTAACTGATTAACTAGCTACTCAAGGAGGTGTGTCAGACAATTAAGCTGATTACACTGAATACACTTTAGGGACAAACCCCTGCAGAGTTGGATCGATCCGGATGGTAAGATGTTCGAATCTGAACGCTGGCTATATCAAAACTCAATGCACGGATAACGGTCAAACAGTGACGACATTTCGGGATACCCTGTATATACATGTAGTGACATGTTCCCACACACGTGCACCGGTATTTTCTCATACTCCAAGGTAAGTAACAGTTTTCGACGAATTGATTAAGCCTTCATGGAAAAAAACATATCGAAAGTAGGCAATGGTGTGTCGTTAATAGACAATCCAAAGAGGAGTGGCTTGCTTTGTAAACCAGTCATATATTCCCAATGACTCAAGATCAATTCTAGCCATTAAGACCGAATTCCGTCTAATAGAGCAATTGTATTCAAAAGCGCTTTATAGTATTTTATTCTCATCTCACCCCAAAATTATGTTATTCTCTAGTTTATGCTAATTATTGAAACTATACAGTGCAAAGTCGATTTGACAAATAATGTGCTTGAAAAAATATATATTTATGTGTTGCTTTTATAAAATTATTTGATTTCGAAATAGTTTTCCTTTGTGATAAATCTACGTGTTAACTGTATCAAGAATAAGATCAAACTAGTAGGTTCATTGGACAGCTACAGTGAAGTGGAGATTAAAATACACAATGTAAATATACATGTATGCACTATATATCTGGGGTAGCCCTAACACTCGCCAATTTAGCCAAATGCTAAAACTCGCCTTAATTAGCTAAAGAAAATGGGCTTGATTTGACTTTTTTTAGTCAAATTATAACCATTTTGATAACAAACTCACAAAAAAGTGGTGATTTGGCTAAGCATAAAAAAAAAAAAAAATGCTAGCGCTACCCCAGTATATACATGTCATATTTAGGTGTTCTGTATAAATAATCACGTACGTTGAATGTTTATAACACATTAAACCGTTATATCAGGTTTCTTATATTATCACTAGTAATTGAGAAATGTATTCTGCCTTCCGCTTTTGTATAAAGCAACTCACTAAGTGCACAGCTATTGCTGCAGTCCGACTGGTGCACACCTAATGCATTGCACAATATATTTACTGAAAAAAAGTGATCATACAGCTGACTCATTCAGTGTCAGGTGATGTTGTCATTTAAAGGTATTACCATTTGGGGAATACAGATATACATAATACCACAGAAATGTTATATCTTGGATTACAAACATTGATCAGAAATAGAGTACGGAAAGAGAGTTCAATCTTACTCCAAAGAGGAGAGCTTGACTGTGACTTGACCCAGACTGAGATGTAAGTACACGTGGACAGGGTATCTGTAGCCCAGATACGGTACTGTATAAATGTGCATATCTATCCACACAGACTCCTTACCTACATTGAGTTATATAAGCCCTCATTTCAAGTTCAAATGTGATCGGCAGCAGATTTGGTGACGGAAATAACTGAAGGATCGTACCTAACACAATTGAAAGTATCAGTTTTTTCTCTTCGAAGTCAGATTTCAGCAATGATGTTCTAATTTTGTATGAAGGTGTTCTATTAACTGGACGGATGCATTAATATATAAAGTCAAGTATAAGGTATATGATTGCTATTCCTACAATAGTGATATTTGCATTATTTTAAAATGATATTTACAAGTTTTCCTAATTTTTAACAGCCCATTTCACATATTTCGCGTTGGCCTGTGACACACACACACACACACACACACACACACACACACACAATAGTCTGGAAAACGTTTTACACTTTACTTATTTGCTGTGCTTTGTTTTAACAGCATTTTACTTACTGATTTTTAACTATTGCTAGACTTATCAGGCTAAAACTTTAAAAAATAGAGGTATCGTGACCCTTTCATTTGTTTAAATTTTATTACTATTATTATTATTATTATTATTTTAATTTCAATATCCTGGTCTTGATTTGAGTGAATGATTGAATGACTTTACTCTTATAATGAGATGTTCGGATAAAACATAACCGTCCTTAGACTTATTTCCAAATGGAACCTACGGCTGCCATAATATATTAACAGTAATTCTAATGCATATTTCTTCCGATAACATTGTTTTGATTGATGTATGAATTTTTTTATTGATTAAATAGTTGGATATTATTTGATTTTTCATGAACAAATACACCTGCAGCTCTTTTGACTTCTACCCTTGCAAAATAAATACACTGTGTAAACATACCTGGTGAATTTTTATTTATCGCTAACCGATTCGCGTCGTGTTGACAAAGAAGCAGCAAGCTGAGGTCTTGACATCAATACGCCTTCTGTGTTGTATGTCAAAATACTGCAGTCTCGTCCTATACCAAGGTAGTAAATAGTGCATGGCGTCGATTTTTTTCTCCAAAACTGTGACAAAATGTTACCCTCTACCAGGGCCACAGGGAGCATTTTTTCACTAGACATTTACAAAATAATATTATTGATATTCAGTAGCTGTGAACATTCCTTTGCAAACCCATAACGCCGTCACACACCAGTCTCTGGCAGAAAATTCCAAACAGTTAGTCCCCGTTACCCTCTACCAGGGCGACTGATAGATTTTTACAGATATTCACAGATGTCTCTAGCTAGACAGGTGGTCATTTTGAGCTGAAGTCACCCTGTTGAGGAATCTCAAGGCTGATTACATGGCTGGTAATTGTTTGCATAACTGCTCAGGCACTGCCACTTAGCATGTCCAGTCTAAGTCTGCGTGACATCAATCAAAACAGTTAAATGCTCTGACTTCAATCACTTGCTCTTCTGTGTCAGATAAAAAAGCATTAGACTGGTTGCGTAACGAGCAGTTATCACGTCGTTGTGAAGCTCAGCTCATGCAGAGCAAGTACAAAGCCTTTGGCGTGCGCGCAGAGATAATTGTTTCCACATGGGATTCCTCAACAGGGTGACTTCAGCCCAAAATGACCATCTATCTAGCTAGAGACACATCTGTGAATATCTGTAAAAATCTATCAGTCGCCCTGGTAAAGGGTAAGTACCCGTAATGTTTTTTTTTTTTTTAATACTTTTAAAACTTTAGATAAAATAAATGAATAAGTAAATAACGTCAGTAACGCAAACATTATGCGTTATATATGTATATCTGTTTTCTATCACTGTTTAATTGATTCCTTTCCATATTGGAAAGCACTATAGTATAAAAATAAAAGTTAAAAAAATGCATCAAGTCAAAATCAAGCACAGATTACACAAAATGTGTGCGCCACTAACTTGACTAAAATGTCCATTGTTAAGGGTTTGTCCCACACACGAGACCCATGGAAAGCTGAAACGAACCGCATCATTTGTGAAAAGTTCGATATGCCACTTTAGGCTCATTGTGCTCAATCCTTGCAAACCTTGTCTCAAGAGGTACCAGTAGGTTTATGTGGATTTGACCATTTAGATTTTGGTAGTGTGAATTACTATAATATCATTATTATTTTTACCTCATATAGTTTGATTCACTGTGATATAATACTGTAGAGGCTTTGAAACGGTTATATTTATATTTTTTTTATATGAGACTAAATTACTTCGAAAACATTTACATTTAATGAATTCTGTTATATTCTACCAGTACATGTTATAACAGAGATACTTTAACGCGTGGCGTCTTTGTGTCAGTTTTGTAACGATAAGGTTTGTAGTTGTGACCTGTGGATGACAACTGTAGCTATAAATACAGCGTATATATTTTTAGACCTGGAAAGACCCCCGATTTTTCAGAGCTCTCACCTGTACACACTTAAGCATAAGATAGCAAATTGTGATAGCACTCTGTGAATTGTAGACCCATATTATAAAAATGCATGTAGTAAAATCATAGTTTGATTGTGTAACAGTGAATAGCGTCTACTTCTTTTGATCTCGGCTGTTTGGTGTATTCTACTTCCTCCCCGCGCGTGAAATAAAAACGTCATTTACCGTATGGAAATTGCACAAATAATTAGAATTTCTCTTGCCGATTGAACATAACAAAATGTTTTTGCTTACGTTCACGTTAAATTTGATCAAGATGGTTTTGAATTTGTAGCGGCCTAGATATATTGTAGGTATTGTTTGCGGGGGGGGGGGGGGGAGAGGGATGGCAATCAGCTAACAAAGGAAGTTTCAAGATGGCATCTTCGAATCATAAGACAAAAACCTGGGAGCAAATTGACTCTGTGATTAACAAGAATACAGAGCAAATAGTCCAAGATTTGCCTTTGAATACCACCATTGCAGCGGCCTTCATATCTGCAGGTGTTTTCGAAGCTGTTGACATGGAGAAAGTTCTGGTTTGTATCACCAGCTGATGACGACATATAAATAATGAACGGTTTATATACAGTACAGTCTCATCTGTGTAAAGCACAGTGGTAGGTTTTGATTCCAAATAGATCGGAAATGTATAATTTCATATAGTAGCCTTATACGCACAGCATTATTACATGTATGTCAATGTAAAAAGAGTATTGCCATGCCTATTTAATAAGTATTATATATTGTGATTATAGGAGACCAAGGTAGGGCGAGACAGGGCCTTCTGGCTGTGCAGAAACATTCCTAGAGACTTGGACAAGGTGACAAAATTTGCACATATTCTTGGAAACCATGGACTAGGCCATCTAGAGAAGGCACTGTTAAAAGGGTTGGAAGACATAGCAGTTCCTGTCACAGAAACAACTCCCATCCCAGGCAAGTTGATATGTTAAAAGGCAAACAATGCGTGTGCTAAATCCTACTGTATAGACTGAAAATCTGCTTTCATGCTAATTGTTATGTACAGACACAGATGTGTCTGTACATATTGCCATCACCTTCGTCTGTCGTCGCCGTCGTCGCTGTCGTCGCTGTCACCGTCGCCGTGCACTTTCAGCGTTAACACGATAAGTGGAAGACAGTTTTATTCTTTGGCTTTATATTTAAAGAGCTGATGAATATTCATAAAATGCAGGTCAAGTTCGAAAACCAGCATGATCGGGCCATTATTGTAGAAGTTATGCTGTTTTTTTCACTTTTCAGCATATATGCAACACTGTTAACACATTTCAAGGAAAACTGATAGGCCTGTTGTCATGAAACTCACTGGAGTAATCGGTCTTACTAAAACCCAGGTCAAGTTTGAAAATCGGCATGATCGGGCAACTATTTTAGTAGTTATGCTGTTTTTTTTCACTTTTTAGCATATATGCAACAATGTAAACACAATATAAGAAAAACAGATAAGCCAATTGTCATGAAACTCACAGGAGTGGTAAATCTTCCTAAAACCCAGGTTGAGTTCGAAAATCAGCATAATCGGGCCATCGTTTTAGAAATTATGCTGTTTTTTCACATTTCCTCAGATTCAATTCTTAGGCATGTTAACAGTCTCATTATTTAACTAATAAGCTACGTAAAAGTATTTGTTTGACATTTCCTGCATCTTTACAACATTGTTAGTTGATTATGTAAAAATGATGGTAAACTTGTTATCGTGTATGTGTTATAGAGTTTCAAAAATGGAAATACACTCATATCATTGCAGATTGTCAGGTTCAATCATTCACTATGTTCAGAATCTCAGAATGGAGGAAATTGGATATTTAACAATGTTCTATTGATATTTTTCCCATCACATCAATTTTCTAAGTTGATCATATAAAAATGGCACTAAACTGTTCATGTTGTTTTATGTTAAAAATTGTTAAAAATGGAAAAAAACCCATTTCAGAACAGTGCTGTCTTGTTTACATATTGGCATTTTCAAGGTGTGACTTTGAAGTTTCATGGGCCTGAAGACTTTTGGTAGTCACATTTTCTGAATATCCATGATACTAATATTTTGTTATTAAAATTGATGGTCATTATGCTCTTAAACATATGTAATATTGCATCAAATTTGAAGAAACCCCTATTTTGGGCACTGCTCCCATGATGACCATGCGCATTTAAGGAAAACCATTCAAAGAAAATACAGGTTCTAAACTAGTAGCACTCAACCGACGGGCTCAAACTAAAAGTTGCACTCTGTCGGTATATAAGGAGACATCCTGATTGTAATAACCTGACAAATGATGGCCCAGAAACTTCGTGGACCTCATGAACACGAAATGTAGATTGTTTGTACTTTAATATATACTATGTGCATCGATCAAGGTACATGTTGTATCATTATTCATATAGTTTGATTCACTGTACTATATTACTGTAGAAGTTTTTAGATCGTTATAATTACATTTCCTACCAGAGCAAAATCATGAAAATGAACGTGAATTTTTTTAATAAGTAGATTTTTTAAATAAGTTACAAGTAATAAGTTTTGTAATATCATTATATATGAATTCTATAATGTAGACAATGACACCGAGATTTACCTTTTCCCTTTCCATCCACTCAGGTTTATTAACTACATTCTGTGACAGATCATTCAATATGTTCAATGTTTAATGTTCAGTGTTCAGCTAGTCAAAATTCCACTATCAAGGGGGGGGGGAATCATTGGTATAATTAATTTCAGAAATCGAAGGGGGGGGGGGTGAGGACCCCCCTGACACCCCCCTAATTCCAAAAAATGCGTTCGGTTGTAAAATACGGCTCTACACCCTCAATCGCTTTTCGGGGTTTCTATGATTATGGTATAGACAATATTTTTTTCTAATTAAGAAGATTATATTTTTTTAAGTGAATCATTTTAGTTGCTTTGTATACATCTGGTTAATATTAATCAGCCAAGTGTTTGCCTTACAGAGTCACAAAGGCCACAACTTGATGAGAAGAGAGTTGAGAGCATGATTACTCTTGCTTTGGAAAAACAGAATGAAAAATTCAACTCCCAAATTAGCCAAGTGATGACTGAATTTAATAGTTTAAAAGAAGACAAAATGCACCTCCAGAACACCCTCACCCAGGTGACAGCTGACTTGGTACACTTGAAGCAGGAAAATGACATACTGAAGAAGGAGATGGAAGCCGGGACCAGAGTAATCAAGGAACTTAAAGAAGAAAACAGTCAATTAATGAAAAATCTGCAAGAAGAAACAGAGAAGAGAAAACAAGTAGAAGAAGACCTGAACAAAGCGAATATGAAGACCAAAGATAAAAATCCCCAGTGTTCTTGCTCAAAGAAAAACACGCTGCAAGGCAAGTTGCCAGCGGGGAATGAGTTACAGTCGGTGACCAGCCTGGCCTCGAATCAAGACATTCTGAAAGCACAGGTCAGAAGTCTGGAAAGGCAAGCAATGAAATGGAAAAATAGATATGAGCAGCAACGTAAGAAAAATAGTTGTTGTTGTTGTTTTTTAAAGAAGACATACGACGAAGACAAAAAGAAACATTAACTCTCTGTATCGACCCAACCAACAACCTGGACATATTTGTTTAGAATACATAACAACGTGCAGTGTCACTTGAATTGATCACTGATTGTTATATGAAATTTAAAATACATATTTGTTTAATTATGATGCAATCTCCATATTTACCGGAGATGTGTTTTGGAGGTTTGGGGCATGAGCTATAAGAGAAATGTAACTTTTTTTAATTATCCACACTCTATGATCTGTGAAGCTTTTGTATCTACTTAGCTGATATATATATATATATATATATATATATATATATATATATATATATATTTTTTTTTTCATTTTTTAAAACCAACCTTTAGTTATATTCATCACAAAAGAATTCTAGATCTCAGCCGCTCTCGAGTCTAACTATAGTACCTGTGCTGACCATCCCCACAGAGACTAGTAATTTTTAAACACGATTAATTAATAAGATGCAATTATTAAATAAGTGAAATATCTATACAACTAAAGCTGATGTCAATCCCAGATCTACTTAGTTTTCTCGTTTATTCGTCGCATATTATCACGCGTGCACCTAACATGTTTTTTTAAATATAGCTGGACATATCTGTTTAAAGTACATAACAACGTGCAGTGGCACTTAAATTGTCCTCTGATGGTGTTAAGAAATTTATACAAGTATTCGTTAATTCTGATTCAAGCTCCCTATTTACCATATATCTGTTATGTCATATTTTTGTGAAATATATTTTATTTTGTAGTAAATTTGTTGTAAAAATAATGGGTTATTATTTAATCAATCTTAAACAGATCAAAACAGTTTTTGATGATTTAGACATTTTTAAATGTTTTAAATATATTTTTGAATTATTTTTAAAGCATTTTTTCAACTTCATGAAGGCAAAAAATGCAGGGAAATTACACAAATTCATTTTGGAGAAAAACTTTGGAGAAAAACTTATTACTCACACTATGCTACGTTAATCCAATGAAATCTGATGATATACGGTATCTAAACAAAAACTCATACTGGGCATCCTGTCAGACACTTTTAATTTATAAAACAGGAACGATGCTGATTTTTTTTAATAAAACAAACAAACAAACAAATAAATAAATAAATAAATAAATAAATAAATAAATAAATAAATAAATAATCATGAAGCAGAAAAAGGATAGCATAAAAAACTGGTCACTGAGAACATACCCTCCAAAAGGGCCACAGATTTTTTTTATTTATGCACCTTTCTCCTGTCACCAGCTGTCTCCAATAAGAATTATTGTTTTGAATTAATGTAATCACACTGATCTTTGGTAGAGAATAGCCACTTTAAGGGATAGTAGTACGAAGTGACTAGCTGATTTGCCTGATAAACATTCGGCCCCATCCACAATGCATAGGTTTAGTCTATGACAGGTTTGGACCTGGGTTACTCGCAACAATCCCTCTTGATTCGTAGTGCGTTGCGTTAGATGTGCCTTGGTTGGACCGTCATTGCGTTCATTTGCCAGAATAGGGACCCTTTTGTCTAGAACAGAATGGCTTTTTTTTCTCACTTGCACTTTTCAGCAAGCGATTTCAAATATGGCATAAGGGAAAGAAAGAGATTGGTGAGAAAGATTATGAATCGAAAACAACATGAAATCGTTGTGCTTGTTTCAGTGAATGAAGTTGCAAAAATCTCCACACTTGCTGCAACATAAGTAAGATATTACGCTCTATCCTTGATAAATGTAAAACAAATATAGCGTATATTTTATATGTACGCAAAATAACGTATTTTCAAATACCTTAAAAAAGACAAAATTTACCTCAATATTTGTCCATTAGAAAAAAAATCATATCAATATCTTCGTTATCACTCACGTATATCATTGTGAGTCAAAATTAGTGTCCAGAGATTTGGCATCTTACATGGAATAAACGTGACTTTCAGCAAGTAATTTTTCTAGGAACGCCCGTTTTCCAGATATATGTGTATCAACCATAACCTTGTGTATGCTTTGGGTAAGTTGTCACGTTTGAGAACTGTCTTTGGAATAAAATATGGCACTCAGACTATGCTTTCGGTGTGGTTTTATAATAGAGGATTGATAGCCAAGATGGCATCCACTGGTGGGTGAAAAGAGTATATACACTATTAGAATAGAAGGGCAAAGAAAAATGAAACAATTCGCATTTTCAGACCTTGATGCGAAATCAGAGCTTGACTACGACGGAAAGCGAAGTTAGTCTGATGATCGAGGCAGAGATACCTGCCAACGTCCTGGTTACCGACATCATGCGGGATAAGATAACTACAGCATTGGTCAAAAAGGTTGTCCCACCCCCATTTCCATGTACTTTTATTTACAAATGATCACCTCAGAGCTGTAAATTGTAAACCACCATCTTTGAGCCCTGATATTAAACTTACTAATCAACTGTGACATGAATTGGAGTGTGCAATGCAAAGGAGAACCAACCCCATAAAAACGTGGACCAACTCCCCCAACTTGTTTAAAAAGAATGGGACAATATTCCACATAACAGAATTGTTACCCGTGTTGAAGGCTTGTCGCGCCGTCTACAGGAGATAATTGCAGTACGCGGTAGACGCACACGCTGTTAGGCACGTGATCTTTAACGAGCACACCCTAATGCTAATTGTCTGTGAATTTGGGGACATTTGATGGCGTCTTTTCAATTTTATAGACATTTCTTTACATCTGCAGAAGTCACAGTGAAACAGTGGATTTGAGGGGGTACCTCTTATAAATTTGACTAAATGGTGTAAAATATGTATATTTTCACGACTATTTTGTATTTTTTAAACCATTAATCATGTTAGACACGGTATCTGTAATAAAAAGCACTATTTCTAACAATTTACAGCTGTGAGGTGATCATTTGTAAATAAAAGTACATGGAAATGGGGGTGGGACAACCTTTTTGACCAATGCTGTATGTCATTATGATAGTGTCTTTTGTCTTCGTAAGCCTCCTGGTCGGTGCGTACCCAGTTTCAAGCCCTCTCGCTCCACTAGTAATTTTACGCACAATCAAACGTGTAATTGGGTCTTCTTCCCCTTCAGAATATGACAAACAAAAATCCCTTACTTGCAATAAGTCGTATTTATTTCAAAGTTGAAAGAGATTCCTGAATACATAATAAATATTAGCACTGGCCACTTGGTTTATGAAAGAGGTTAAATTGCAGAATGGGCAAGGTATTGAAACAAAAATATTAAAATATACCTTCTTGGTACAGAATAAAATACATTACGAGTGAAATTGCTTACTGTAGCATACTTTGTGTTTTGAACATGTCGATATTTTATTAATCGTTTATATTATTAGTTTGCAACAAAAGTGTCCACTCGTGTATCACTCATATTTCCATGGTATAAAATGGCATTCATATCTAATGAAGAAAACACTACCATAAAAACCGACTTTGCAAAATCTTTGTGTTATGATCTCATTGTGGCGTAGGAGGATATAAAACAATGCAACTGACTTCGAGGCTCACTGCCGATTATTTCCTGGTTACCTGCTCTCGAAGGTGACAGGCTGAAACGGAATTCGAACTGTCATTTTAAGATGAACGCATGTTTGATTGCTGTATAAACGAAATGCGCATAGGTTTAACATCATGTAACGCACAAAACCTATTGTAATGTCGGAGAGGCAATGGGCCCTCAGTTAAATATTTGTAAACAATATATGTGTCACATGTAATTACTTCCTACCAAAAGACTTATATAACTTTCAGTTCAAATACAATCTTATAGACTTGAGTCCGTAACATTTCAAGAAAAACATCGCACGTTAGTCATAACAATAGAAAAAGAAAGAAAGAAAGAAAAAAGTAAGAAAGTAAGTAAATAGCAAAGAACGACAACCGCAAGGTCTGGGTTTAATGCTACTGGTAGCTGTTGCAGCAACGCAAGTCAAGTAGAAATAGTAAAAGATAATGAAAAATTNGTGGATTTGAGGGGGTACCTCTTATAAATTTGACTAAATGGTGTAAAATATGTATATTTTCACGACTATTTTGTATTTTTTAAACCATTAATCATGTTAGACACGGTATCTGTAATAAAAAGCACTATTTCTAACAATTTACAGCTGTGAGGTGATCATTTGTAAATAAAAGTACATGGAAATGGGGGTGGGACAACCTTTTTGACCAATGCTGTATGTCATTATGATAGTGTCTTTTGTCTTCGTAAGCCTCCTGGTCGGTGCGTACCCAGTTTCAAGCCCTCTCGCTCCACTAGTAATTTTACGCACAATCAAACGTGTAATTGGGTCTTCTTCCCCTTCAGAATATGACAAACAAAAATCCCTTACTTGCAATAAGTCGTATTTATTTCAAAGTTGAAAGAGATTCCTGAATACATAATAAATATTAGCACTGGCCACTTGGTTTATGAAAGAGGTTAAATTGCAGAATGGGCAAGGTATTGAAACAAAAATATTAAAATATACCTTCTTGGTACAGAATAAAATACATTACGAGTGAAATTGCTTACTGTAGCATACTTTGTGTTTTGAACATGTCGATATTTTATTAATCGTTTATATTATTAGTTTGCAACAAAAGTGTCCACTCGTGTATCACTCATATTTCCATGGTATAAAATGGCATTCATATCTAATGAAGAAAACACTACCATAAAAACCGACTTTGCAAAATCTTTGTGTTATGATCTCATTGTGGCGTAGGAGGATATAAAACAATGCAACTGACTTCGAGGCTCACTGCCGATTATTTCCTGGTTACCTGCTCTCGAAGGTGACAGGCTGAAACGGAATTCGAACTGTCATTTTAAGATGAACGCATGTTTGATTGCTGTATAAACGAAATGCGCATAGGTTTAACATCATGTAACGCACAAAACCTATTGTAATGTCGGAGAGGCAATGGGCCCTCAGTTAAATATTTGTAAACAATATATGTGTCACATGTAATTACTTCCTACCAAAAGACTTATATAACTTTCAGTTCAAATACAATCTTATAGACTTGAGTCCGTAACATTTCAAGAAAAACATCGCACGTTAGTCATAACAATAGAAAAAGAAAGAAAGAAAGAAAAAAGTAAGAAAGTAAGTAAATAGCAAAGAACGACAACCGCAAGGTCTGGGTTTAATGCTACTGGTAGCTGTTGCAGCAACGCAAGTCAAGTAGAAATAGTAAAAGATAATGAAAAATTTAAAAAAAAAAAACAATGAATAGATTGCTTTATGTATTTTAAAGCATTTTATATTCAAAGGACTAAA